TTGTAAAGGTTCCCATGTGCATCTAAAAAGTTAATAAATTGGTATGCTTCTCTCCTGTTAATCTGTCAATTTAATTTTTAGAACCATCCAGGAACGCTTATAGGGTCAAGTAAAACTTTTTTCTTCCCTTCTAAAATGCAGAAAGAGTCCGGCTGGCCGTGGCTCAGCGGTTGAGCATCGACCTAGGATCCAGGCGATCGGGGTTCGATTCCCGGTCAGGGCACATGCCCGGGTTGCCGGCTCGATCCCCAGTCGGGGGCGTGCAGGAGGCAGCTGATCAATGACTCTCTCTCATTATTGATGTTTCTATCTCTCTCTCCCTCTCCTTTCCTCCCTCTGAAATCAATAAAGATATATTTTTTAAAAAATTAAAAAAATAAAGTAAAATGCAGAAAGAAAAGGGGAGATCATCCCAAGTAGATAAAGTCACATATTCCCAGTGAGGAGCTATACAGTCATTCAACAAACATTGAGTACCTATTATGTGCCAGGCAATATCAGAGGATACAGCTGTGAACAAGAGCCTCTGCCTTTGTGAAGCTCATATTCTAGTTGGACAAAACAGGTAATAAACTAATCATCAAGAAATAGATTAGATAATTTCAGTTAGTAAGATATGTTATGAAAAAATTAAAACAGGATAAATGAGATAGAGAATGGGTTCAAATCATGGCTCAGCCACTTATGGCTGTGCAACTTTAGGAAAGTTGCTTAACTTCTCTGTACCTTCTTCATTTATAATATGGGCAATAACAGTATTTACCTCATAGAAGCATAGTGGGGATGATTTAATATATAAAGGTTTAAGAACAGTATCTAGCACACTGAAAGCCATGTCAGTTATTATAGGTGTGTATGTGTGTGTTGGGAGGTAGGAACTACTTTAGATAGGGTGGTAAGGGAAGGCCTCTATGAGTTGGGACCTGAATGATGAGGAGCCCCCCATTGAAATTCTTCTGAGAAGACCATTCCAGACAGACAGTGGGGCAATTAAAGGTCCTGATACCAGAATAAGCATGGGATATTAATGGAACAGAAATAAGAACCGGAACTGATCTGGTAGGAAAAGCTGAGAATAAAAAATGAAAAGGGTATAGGGTTTTCTGGTGACTGGAGGCAGAGGGTATAAAGACAAACTGGCCCTCTAGTGAGGAGCAGAGTAGGAGTAAGTATATGTGGTGTTAAAAAGCTATTTAGGGACAAGAATAGGAGGCAGGAGGATTGGGAACAGGGACAGAGTAAGGAGAGAAGGAATTGCCAAGGAAAAATATCCAGGTTCTTATTTTGGGAAAAAGAGTGCCACATGAGAAGTGGACATAAGAGGATGAGTAGAGTAGGGTGAAAATAGAGAGGATATATTTGCTTATTAGATTTTATAAGTTTGAGACACCAAGAAATATTCAGACCTTGCCTCTGTCACTCCAAGCTGTGTAACTTTGGATAAGTTACTTATCCTCTCTGTGCCTTGGTTTTCTCCTTTGTAAAAATTGGCTTTGCCTCAGATATGTTGTGAAGATAACATGAGGTAATAACTGTAAAGCCCATCGAATAGTATCTGGCGTAGAGTAGGCACTTAATAGATGTTAATTACAATTTTTGTTACAAAAGCATGTAAGTATGAGCAAGTCTGAGATGTTGAGGAGCTGGCAAGGTGCTACTATACCTGGAATGTAAAGTGGTGGGGATAGACAGATGATAGTGAAAGAAAAGACACGTTAAATTGTGAAGAGCCATGAGTGTTTTTTAGGTTCAAGAAGGGAATGGATGTTCTCAGAGAGCAAACAGGCTTGGAGGCCTCCACTTCAGCTCTAGAAAGGAATCTGGAAGTAGTGTGGCCTGTTTCCTTAGGATCTTAACTAAAAGCTTCAAGAATCACCACCTGTGAACAGATATGTACACAGTAGTGGTGGAAGTTTCTTTAAGAGGATTGGAAGTAAAGCATCTGAGACACTAAGGGTGCCCCATGGTAGACTGTGTATATGTCTGAAGCAGAGGCAGAAAATAGTTTAAAGTCAAGTCCTGCCATTGTGACTGTGGACAAGTGCCTTTGTTTCTTGGGCCTCAATGTCTCACTCTATAAAATGAGGGGGAAGGATTAGAACCAGGAATCTGATTCCATCCTGTTCAGGCCTTATAATAATTAAGGGATATAGAAAAGAAGGCAAGAGAGCACTACTGGATAGTGGAGAAGACTCATGGAAAAGTCAGGAAGCAAGTTCTAGACCCGTATCTGCTCAACTGCTTGTGTGACCGTAGACAAGTCTGAGACTCCATCTGTACCAGGAAAGTGTTGGTCTACTCTACACTCTAGAGCAGTGGCTTTACAAGTATGATCCCTGGAACAGAAGCATCAGTACCTCCTGGGAACTTGTTAGAAAGGCAAATTCTCAGGCTCCACTTCAGCCCAACTGAATCAGAGACTCTGGAGGTGGAGCCCAGTAATTTGTTTTAAGAAGTCCACAGTAATTCTGATACACACTATAATCTGAGAACCACTGTTCTAAATATTTTCAAACTTTTGCAGTGAGAGAGTCACCTGTTTTTTCTTTCTTTATTGAGTTGTAATTTATATACAACTGTTTTTTACAAGTTTATACCCTATAACCACCACACAAACCAAGACTATTTCCATGATCCCAGAAGGTTGCCTTGTACCTGTTTCCAGTCCATTCCTTCAACCTCAGCTAAAGACAATCATGCTTGCTTGTCTTCCTTTTTTGTACAACCTAATGCCTTTAATATCCAACCATATCATTGTTGTATGCATCAGTTCATTTATTTCTATTGCTGAGCAATATACCAGTGTATGAATATACTGTAGTTTTGTCCATTCTCTAGTTGATGGGTATTTGTTTCCAGATTGGAGCTACTACAAATAGTACTGCTATTTCTTTTGGCGCACAGAAGCATTCATTGCTCTTGTATATATATCTAGGAACACCTCCCCCTTTTTAATTAAATCTATTTTATTTTTAGATATTGTAGATTCACATGAAGTTATAAGAAATAATAGAGAGAGAGATCTCATGTACCTTTTTCCCAGTTTTTCCCCCGAGGTAACATCTCACAAACTATACTACAATATCACAACCAACATGTTGACATTGATACAGTCAAGATAAGAGTGTCACGGCAAGGATCCCTCATGTTGTTCTCTTATAGCCACACCTATTTTTCACACCCCACCTCCCTTCCTTAACTACTGACAACCTGTTCTGTTCTCCATCTTTATAACACACTGTCATTTAAAAAAAGGAGAATTTTGATAAGTGGATAACAATTTTATAGTGGCTTAAAACAACACAAATTTATTTATTACTTTACAGTTCTAAAGGTCAGATAGAAGTCTAAATTAGGTTTAATTTGGGCTTAAAGATTTTGGCAGTGCTATGTTCCTTCTGAAGACTCTAGGGGAGAATATTTCCTTGCCTTTCCCAGTTTGTAAAGGCTACTGCATTCTTGGCTTATGGCCTCCTCCTTCATCTTCAAGCCAGCAGAATAGCATCTTCAAATCTGATTCTGGCCCTCTCCCATCATTTAAGGACCCCTGTGATTGCATTGGGCCTACCTGGATAATCCAGCATCATCTCCCTGTCTTAAAATCCTTAATCACATCCCAGAGTCCTTTTGTCACATAAAGGAATGTATTCACAAGTTCCATGAATTTACAACATGGGTACCTTTGTGGGGCCATTATCCTGCTTATCACATCCATCTTCCTCTCTTCCCCTTTAAAAGATAAATACACATATACAGCCCAACATACAAAGCATACAAAAAACATCCTCTGGTTGAAGTTAGAGGGGACCTAGAGCTTCTTCATTCCCCAATACAACAAAAGTTGGGACCATCATTAGCAGAAATTCCTAAGCCCCCTCCTACACTTATGTCCTAGGGCCCTAGAATTCTATTTTCTACCTTAGAATTGAAGTATATCTTATTCCCATCCTCTGGGAATGGTAGGGAGAAAATATAGCATAGTGGTTGAGAGCACAGGCTCATGAACTAGACTGCCTGTGTTCATCTCCTGACTCTACTACTTCTAATCTCTGTGACTTGGACAAATTAATTCATCTTTTGGGGCCTCAGTTTCTTCACCTGTAAAATGGGATAAAATATTATGCGTTCAAAGCAGTGGTTCCCGAGTTTACCTGCACCTTGTCATCATCAAATACTATACTGATGCCTGTGTGATTATAATTTGATCTCAGGACATGACCTGGGCTTCAAAATCTTTAAGATTCTAATGTGCAGTCAATTTTGTGAGCCACTGACTCAAAAGGTTATTGTAAGAATTTAGGCTCAAAGAATATGTAATTTACTTTGGCCCACGAAAAAGGGCTGGTGAGAGTATGACAGGTTCAAAATGGCCTGGAAGGCTTACATGAGTCTCAATTTCCTCATTTGTAAAATTAGGATAACCATATCTAGGCTACAAAATTGACATATTTTATAAACCATAAACATTGCCCAGCAGCTATTGTACATACATAATGATCTACCCTCACTTTATACCCCACTCTCCACCACCTTCAGCAACATGGCTCATGGTAATTTATCTGACATTCATCGGCACTTCAATAAATGAGGGTAGTAGGAGGTTGGCAAGTCGAGAGGCCTTGTTGACGAGGCAGGACAGGGCTTGACCACAAGAAAGTTCAGAGATACAAACCACCCCTCACAGACATCCCAAAAGCCCCAATGCTAAGTGAGCCCAAGGAACATCACATTGACCATGTGGCAGGATCCAACTACACTGGAAAAGTTGGCCTATAGCTGTAAAAAGGACACAGGCTATTAAGTCAGACAGTCCTATACTCCTGGACAGTAATTCTACTTCTTCACATCCATTCTCTCCTCTATAAAATGAGGATAGTCTTATCCACTCCCCATAGGACTGAAGTGACAATGAAATGAGACCAGGGGATTATGGTCTACAGAGTGAAAACTACAGTGAAGTATCTTACAGTCACCCGCTCATGCCAGAAAGAAACATCAAGTCACAGTGAGGTCTTCCTAAATTTTATTGGCACTGAAATAGAACATGGGTTGAGCATAAACCCCTCCAAAAAAACAAAAACAAAAACAAAAAAAACCACAAACACAGTTTTTAAAAACCCCAAAAAATACACAAAAACCTGAATACAAAATCTAACTTTTCTCCCCAGTCTCCCTGGGGATGGGTTACCTCTCTTAAGGCAGCTAGATTGCCCCACAATTCCAGGTTTAAATTTAGCCAATATACGGCATATCACCAAGAAAGTCTCAATATAATTCACAGCAATGCACATAAAACTCCCCAAGGTCAGGGAGGGGTGGGGAAGAGGGAGGAGGGATTGAAGCAGGGCTCTGGGCTAGGGGCACTGCATGCAGGGACAGTATACCCCTTGTGGACTGAACTCTGGGGAGAAGGCAAAAAGGGAACAATAAAACCAAATACCAAGTTCTTTAAGAATAGATTGTATGACCTATAATGACAGGTGATATCACTAATACTGAAAGCTTCTTACATTAATGTTTCTGGCAAAATATTATTTTATAATATAGTATATGCTTCCCAGGTGTGGGAGTGGTAAGGGAATTTGGCCAAAATGACTCTTGCTCCAAGCTTCTAAGGGTACATTAGCAGGACACGCAGAAATCAATATTGAGTTAGATGCCACTAGAATATATAATACTGGTAGAAAAAAAACAACACACATACAACAGAGAGGAGGAAGAGGCTGCTCCTGAGTTGAGAGCCAGGGGTAGGGCTGTGGAAGGGACCAGGCCAGAGGCCCCAGTAGTTCTCTGGTTTACAGCTCCAAAGGACCGCACAATTGGTGGCAAGATCTGGGTTAGAGGTTTGTCAAACATAGGCAAGTCCTAGTCACCAGCTTAGAGGTAGGTGACAGGAAGGGGCTATTAGGCACATGATGGAGTAAAGTAATCTGGGGTCCAGGCCATGGACTTCTCTTACCACACTCAGCTTCTTCTATCCTTTCACCAATTAAGCCAACTGCCATCAAGATCCAGGACTCACCATACCAAGGCCTGGATGGCCCCGAAATAGGAGCTGTGGCCCAAGTAGCTCTGATAAGAGAAGTGGCCTGGGACCCATGGCAGGGAAAAAGACAGAAGCCAGGTGTCAACATTTCCTCCTTCTGGCAAGTCCTGAATGGGGCTAGCTGAGTTTTTGGGTAACCACCCCTACAAGTTCTAGCAGGAGGGGATTTGGGGATTGGAATGAGAAGGAGGAAATCCCAAGAAGGGAGGAGGAACCCAGAATAATAAGGTATACTTTGGCCAATAGAGATAACTTGAAACAGGCCTAGTCTCTCCCATAAGACATTGAGGGAAGGATCTTCTACCCAGCCTTGCCTGAACTGAAGGGTGAATAGCCTTCTAAGATGTTGGTAAAGCCTCTTGAAGGCACTGAGGAGAAATTGAGTCCCTGAAATCAAGGACAAGGCTTATTGGGACTGAGTTTGAAACAGGCCCAATCTGGGAGGTAGAGAGAATGACCGAACACCTTTTTAGCCTCCAATCATTATAAAGCCTAAATAACTCTAGAAGGAACAGGCAGTTGACATCCTAGAGCATACAGCAGGGCTCTGCCTCCTTCCTAAAACTGTGGTACTCCAATTCTTCAAATTACAGGACCCTGAAGAGGAAGGCAGTGGTGGGAGCTAGTTTACAACCTACTCCATACTTGACACCTAAAGAACAATAGTAAATGTAGGGATGTTTCCCATATCAAGTGGGAAGTGCCTCTGAGCTGTTGAAGTGCTCTGTTCTAATAAGGTAGATTAAATGGTACAGAGAGGGAAAAGAGGGTCCCATTGGCACCATTTCTCTGCTCAGGGAAGTGAGTGAGGGCTGAGGGGCTAGGTTTGGTTCAATGGCTACAATGAACATTTAGCATGACTCCAAGGCTGCTCTAGTTAGTGGCGCCAGCACAGTGTGAGTTAGGCGAGAGTATAAGAGTCTGGGGGCAAGGAAGAAGGGAGGAGGGGTCCCTAGAGGCTAGGTGCCCATTACATGGACTCAAATTCATCTATGCGCTGCTTGGTGTTGCCCTGCCGGATCTGACGCAGGGTCTTGTATTTATCTCGGCCCAGTCGCATGTTCTCAGCATGGATCATATCATTGGCTGTCTTCTTGGACTCATCGAGGGCATTGGCCAGTTCTGAAGTGAGGGCCTGTGAGGATGCATGAGAATGAGAGGTTAATGGCTTCCTCTCATTTTACTTCCCTTTATAAAACCAGTTTTTCCCCCTCTCCCCATCTCTCCCTCCCTCTCTCTCCCTCCTCCTCCCTCCTGTCTTCCCTCCTTATCCCTGCTTTTTACACACACACACACACACACACACACACACATTTTTGAGAGACTTTTCCAGCCCTAAGAGAATTGCAGTGGGGAAAGAAAAAAAAGGAAAAAAAATCCACAAACTTAGGGGACTAGCTGCAATTGATGACAAGTATTCCCTGGGAGTAGAACAATGTACCAAAGATTCAGGTAGAAATTGTGTCAGCTAAGTACTTCCTAAATATAAGAGGCAAATGGCATATGGGTGGAGGACTAGGCAAAGAAAAAGAAAAAAAAAAAAGTAGCTCAGGGTCTGATTAATAAATAAGAGGTGCCTCTCATTAAAGTTCTCACTTGAGAAAGGCTCAGGCTCCCATACAGCATTGAGATAGGCTGTTCCACCTACCCCCACTATGATGATCTCTAGGGAAGACCATGGGCTACTAAATCAATGCACATGGTCTCTTTGCCCTCTGGCCCTGCCTGGATACCTTCAGGTGCTTCTGCACACGCTCATTCTTCTCTGCTTCAGTGGTACGTTCCTCCTCACTGCGGTCCTTGGCCATGGCGTCAGCTCGCAGGTCAGCGCTTGCCTCTGCCCCATTCTCATCCTGCTCATCCTGATCATTTTCAGCAGGCTCTGCCACATGAGGAGTACTCATGGCAGTCTTCAACTCAGCGCGGGTCTTCTCCAAGTCTTCTTGTACCATCTGAGCCTGTCCAGTAACAGAGGGAGAGAAGGACAAGCAATCAGAACAAGCTAAACTCGCAGCATCCTACACATGCCTAGAACGGCCCAGCAGAAGGCAGGCACCAGGTAGGCCAAGTCACTTTGTCTGCTTGACCCTTAGTTTCCTCAGCTATATACAGGAACTATTGTACAGATTCCCCTGGAGTATTGAAGAATTTTGGGAAGTTATTTGAGAAAGTCTTGAGCTCCTTCTCCCATAATGCCTGCTGTCAAGGAAGGATCGAAGGGGGAAGGAGCCCAAACCTAAGAAATCTATGGAACTGGAACCTATGCATGTGGTATCCCTTCCCACAATGCTTTGCTCTGGACACTGTGTCTTACCTTCTGCTGCCATTCTACAGCCTCACTCTCTTTCTTCTGTCGGGCCATCTCCAGCTGGGAGATCCGAGCTGTCAACTCCGCCATTTCCAAGGCCTATGGATAAATTGGAAGTTCGTGAGAGCTTGGTTTTCTGATCCTCAGGGCCCAGGTGTCTTCAATCCCAGTTCTCCTGGGGAATCAGTGGGGAACCTGCTGCTCCACCTATACTAGATTGCTGTCCTGGAGGCTCTTTTTACCACACCTTCTCCAGGAATCCCAGAACACCACTCCTGTTCTCAATCTACTACAATCACCTAATAACTTCAATCCATTTCCTTATAAGTCAGAGCTCCCCACCTAGACTATAGACTTGAAAACAAATAGCATATCATCTCTTTCCCTTCCTCATCTCTCCAGCTCTCCCTTCCTTTCCATTCCTCAGCCCTCCCCACTCTCAGCATTGCCCACAGTGCAGCTAGGGCTTTAGAGATCACTGTGTCATGCCTGAAGTGGCAGACCCTTCCTTGTTATCCTAGAGTGCTCAGGGCTCCACTAAGACTCTTCCCAGGTCAAGGGAAAGACTCTCAAGTGTTACAAGGTGATATGAACAAAGGAAAAAAGCTTATGCATACCCTTACACCTTGGGCAAATCTCCCAGAGGAAGCTTCCTCGAGAATTAGGTCTTTCCCTGCACTCCCACTGCAAATAGCATGGCGAACAACATATATCAAGGAATTTGGGTCACAGATTCCTAATTTCTGAGTTACAGAACCCTTGGAAATTATGATGAAAGTATGGATGCTCACCTTCCTCCCCTGAAAAATGCATAGGCACATAATTTTATGTGTGATTTTAGGGAACACACCCTTCAGAGAGGTAGAAACGGGTTCTCATCTTTATTCAGTCACAACTGTGTGACCTTTGGCAAGTCTCTTAAACCTCTCTGAGCCCTAATTTCCTTATCTCGACATATATTCCAATATGGGTTAATGCCATAGGGTTCTTTGGAAAAGCAAATAAGAAAATAAGGAAACAGGAAAAGTTGCTAGCATAGCTTGTAATACACAGTAGGTAGTCAATCAAGTGTGAATCCCTTCACTTCTTCCTCCCTCCCTTTCCTTTGTCAGGTCATCAGCTCAGATCCCCAAGGGCTAAGAAAATAGAATAAAAGTAAGGGCTAAGGAAGACTGCTTGCAAAGGTTTCTGGTCCACACCAGTGACTTCTCAGCTTGCTTCTGAATGAACTATTTGCTGGAGGCCCTGCTGGAAAGGGCTGGTGCTGCAGGCAGAGGCAACTGTGAATAGGTAGACAGAGAGGGAAGAAAACTCAGGTCCTTCAATCCCAGCCCATTTTGTAGTTTTACCAGCTGTTCCTGGGTCTTCTTCTGGTCCCGAGAAGCCTGCAGCAGAGCCTGCTTGGCCTCTTCAGCTTCCTGACGCTCTTTGGCCAGCTTTTCAGCCTCACTCTGGGCACGTTTCCGCTCCTGTTCAAGTTCCAGCGCCCTACGGGTCTGTTCTTCCAGTTCTGGGAAGAGAAGGTGGGAAAAGGAGGTGAAGAGTGCAGAGATAAAGAAGAGACACCTCGCTTCTTTCCTAGGAATGTTTCATACCAGGGCACAGCTGGAAGAAATCTCTGGGCATTCTTTTTCTTGCCCCATATTTTATCTATTCTGTAGCCACAAACGGATTATGTGGCCTGAGCCTGCAGCTCAGGCAGAAAGGTCTCTAGCTCATAGAATCAGGCTCTGGAAAAACCCACTCTCCAAGGTGACACCAAGTCTCACCTTGCTGAGCCTTCTTAGTCTGTTCCTCAATCTGCTTCAGCTTCTCCATCAGTTCCTCCTTCTCTCGTTCAATCTTCTCCTTCTCCTTTTCTGCCATCTCACGCTTCTTCTTCTCATTTTCCAGCAGAGCACTAGGAAAGGAAAAAGAAGGTATTAAACAGGATAGCAAGGCCACATGGAAGCACTGGTATCCCCAAGGCTCCCAGTCTCTGGACCCTCAGTCCCCACCAATATAACACACCCAGAGCTTGTGAGTTGGGATCACTCTTCCTTATCTCCATGTCCTTATCCTTACATTATAGCTCCACATGGGCTGGTGCACTCAAGGCCCAATCAGTTTGTGAAAGGCTCAGGAGATCCAACCTGGACTTCCAGCTCTGCCACTAACTAGTTGGTAACCAGTGGATAACCTTAGCCATGTCACTTCTTTGCACTTGTTCTCAGTATTCCTATATGGAAAATGGCCTATTAAGTTCTGCCTTGGCAGCCTCATGGAGTTCTAAGGAGACAAGGTTTTGTTCTGCGCTGGGATACTGTGCTTCAAGTCTGGTGATCTCTGTGGCTAGAGCATCAGTCCTCAGGTCTAACTTTGCCAGCTCTCTAAAATCCAACTCTAGATTCCTTTTCCCCAGAATTTGTTGCAAATCTAGAATACGTATTTTCTTTTCCTTGCCCCAGCACCTGTTCCAGGAGACTTTTTTTCTCCCTTGGCTAGATGTCTTTTCTCTCTCTGAGACCTCAAAACACTTCGGTTATCCTTTTCCCCATCCTTCCTCCCTCTTATTTTTCTCCACAGCACTTCTTACTGTGAAAATTAATAAACAGAAACCTCATTTGAAATGGAGTAAGGAGGCTAGAGGAGAGAACTCTCACACACTTGTCATTCACTGCACACTACTGACCCTAACAGGAAGAGATTATACCTTACATCTCCTACAAGACGTGATACTACTTGACTACCCCAGAAGAATAAACTATTCCTCCTGGCCCAGTAACAGCTCAGCCAATGGGAGACTGCCATAACTCATCCAATGAAAAAGCATTCTGCTTTGAATTTTCGGTTTCTTCCAATGGACTCTGTTTACAACAGCCTCTCCATAAAAGAGCATTCCTCCTCTTTGTTTCTCTGGACTTGCATATGCTTCACCATTAGACTGTATGTCCTAAATTGCAATTCTTTGTTGTTCCCAAATAAACCCATTTTGCTGGAGAAATATCTAGCTGTCTATTTAAGGTCAATATTGCCATTCCACATACTGTATAATTTTCTTATTTGTTCTGTTTCTTCCCACTAGAATAACAGTTTCATGAGAACAGTGATTTTTGTTTTTGTTTTTTTTTTCTTTTCACTGCTCAAGAAATATTTATCGGAACAAATGACACAGCACTTGTACCTTGAACAGTTAGAGATATATACTGTGTTTCCTCTTTCTCCTACTAGACTGTGAGGTCCTTCAGAGCAGATTTCTGCCAGATCCAGCTCTGTAAACTGCCTCCAATTTCAGCAATTTTTTAATGTATAAATGTGAACCTTGGTGTTTAACTTCTCATACATGGTGTCATTTCCCCAGCCTAGTGGATTAGAAACCTCCTGAAGTTCCAAACTCTTTATAAAATACATAAAAATCACCTGGGATCTTAATTTTTAAATAAACTTATTTAGGTGAAATTAACATAATATAAAATTAACCATTTTAAAGCAAACAATTCAGTGGCATTTAGTACATCCATAATGCTGTATAACTATCAGCTCTATCTAGTTCCAAAATTTTTCATCACTCCAAAGTAAAAACCCACACCCATTAAGTAGTTTCTCCCCATCTCCTCTCTCCTAGCCCCTGACAACCATCAATCTGCATTCTGTCTCTATAGATTTAACTATTCTGGATTTTTCATATAAATTGAACCATACAAAATATGATTTTATGTGTCTGGTTTCTTTCACTTAGCATAATGTTTTAGAGGTTCATCTACATTATAGTTTATATCAGTACTTCATGCCTTTTTATGGCTGAATAATATTCCATTGTATGGATACATAATTTATCCATTCACCCAATGATAGACATTTGAGCTGTTCCCTCCTTCTGGCTAGTGTAAATAACACTACTATGAACACACATGTACGTGTAGTTGTTTGAACACCTGTTTTCAATTCTTTTGCATATATACCTAGGCGTGGAATTGTGAGATTAGACAGTAATTCTTATTGAGAAAAAGAATTATACAGAAAAACATACAGAGAAATCACCAAACTTTTTTTCATAGAAGCTGAACCATCCTTGCCAACAGCCATTATCTTCTGTTTTTATTTATTATATCCATATTAGTGAGTATGAAGTGGTACCTCACTGTGGTTTTGATTTACAATTCCCTAATGACTAAAGATATTTTCATGTGCCTATTGGCCATTTTCATATCTTCATTGGAGAAATGATTACCTAGAATCTTAAGATGCAGATTCTGAATCAATAGGTCTGGGATAAAGTCTCAGATCCTGCTTTCTAACAAGTTCCTAAGTTGATGCTGATGGTGCTGATCCTTGCTGCACTGAGTAGCAAGAGCCTCCAGTGCATAGGGGCTTTGTAAGGAAAATTCTGGTGGCTCTGCCCAATTCCACTCAAAAAAACCCTACATAGTCTAGGTTTAAACGTGCATGGAGCCTTATGCTATTGCCACCATACTGGTCAAATATCCTGGAACAACCCAGAGTCTGCCTAGAAGAGCAATGGCATAACGATCACAGATAATGTGGGACTATGAAATGACCCTCCCTCTTATAAGCCTCTGAAATCCTAAGCTTTTGAT